AAAAAAAAACAAACAAACAAACAACAACAACAAAAAAAAAACTGGCCCCTTTCTTTTCCGTGAAGGTTTTAGGGTAGAAACTAGAGGTCAGGTAGTTCATATGATCCTATTTCTATTAAAAGGATTCTTGGCATGTGTGCAGGGAAAAAAGAGGCATAGATTTGAAAGTGGGGCACATTGAAGAGCTCCAAACAGCGGAGGCTGCACTCCCGAGCTCTGACCATAGAATTCAGGGATCCACGTGTCTCATGACTGGGACCAACACTGGTGACCCGGTGCAGGCAGTGCCTAGGCACCCAGGCTGTGCCACTGACGCCAGGGGAGAACAGCTCTTTGGGGAAGGGGAAAGGGAGGGGTCCCAGGGCAGCAGTAAGCCTGAAGGGAGAGGAATCACAGGAGGAAAAAAAAAAAAAAAAAAAAAAAAAAAAAAAACCACAGAGTTGTTAACACTCGCAGCTAGAGAGGCCCAGGAGGTCCCGCGCAGCCCTGCGGGAGCCCTCTCCACCTCGCCACCGAAGGCGGGTGGTCCCTCCAGGCTGTGGCTTACAGTTCTCTAAAGACCCACCTTCCCCCTGCCCTTCCTCTCTCTGTCACCCCCTCCCCATATCACACCATTTCCAAAAGGGCTTTTATTCACAAACTTGTGTGTGTGTTTATAGTGGTGTTTGAAGTCAAGAGTATACTCTATCAGAAGGAGAAAAAGGAAAAAATCCTGTGTGGAACTTCTTGCCCATTAAAGTTTGTTTGGAAATCTTTTCAGTCTGGTGTCATCTCAATTTCTAGCAAATCACGAGTGCGTTCTGTACGCTCCCGGAGTAACACACACTGAAGCCCTTCCCTTTAGCCTGGCCGGGTGCACGCTCTCAACAGCACTGGCATCTCATCCCATCATGAAGCAACCCTCTGCTGCGTCCACAGCCAACGCAAACATTTTCAAGGATCCCTACACACTCCCCTTTCAGGCATTCCAGACCAGCCCCCCACCCCCGCCTCCACACAATCCCACCCATGGTTCAGTCGTTCTTTCCAAAAGGTTTCCAAAAGTTTTATATCCTGATCAGCATTCTTCAATGCTACAGTCTTTTAGGAAGGCCGATAGGAATCTCGAAAATGGACAGATTCGGTGCTGCACCAAGCTACTTAGGAAGGGTCCATTTTGTCCTTCAGCCCGTGCAGGGGACTAGCAGGACTTTCCAGCACATAATTTACAACATAGTTACAGCCAGAACTTACTCCTCCCCTTCGATATTATTATTCAACTTGAAACCGGCAGCACTGTAACCCTTTCGATGGGACTTTGCAGGCCAGAGGGCATAGAGGAGCGCCTTGCCAGCCAAGTCGGGCAGCCGGGGACGCACGGAACAGAGACCCTGAGGGCATGGCTCAGACACAGAGTGAGGTCCTTTTCCTCCCTGTTGCTTCGCCAGTTACTAAAGATGAGTGAGGCGGAAACACACTACAGTGGGGAGCACGGGGGGAGGGAAGCCAGAAGGTCTCACACCAACCAGGGTGTCAACTGAATGTCTGCGAAACGTGCAGGCAAAGGCAGCCATGCCCCCACTCCGACCCTGGCCCAGCTGCCCCGGCCACGCGCCACGCGGCTGTCGTTACACTCAAGGGACAGACAACAGTCACACTGCACAGACAACACGCAGACTACACAGGCGAGGTGCACACCCATACACCCAACAACAGGCTCCGCCACTGCAAGGCGGCTGCCAACCTGGAGGGCACAGGAAAAGCCAGCCGGGTCCCAGCCTCCTTCCTCCAAAGCACGTTTACCTACACGTCGCGGTTTGCGTCCAGGCTGCTCCCGCTCCACCCTAAAGATTATGTCAACGCAGGAACTGTGGGTGCGCGCGGGTGGGCCGCCTGGGAGCCTCCCCTTCTGGGTCCCGTCGGTTTTATTTCGGGAACGGGAGGGGGGAGGAGGGAGGGCTGGAAGAGGGGAGGGGAATCCCAAATTAAAATAACCCTCAGTTATGAGGACGTTCGGTGGCATCGGATATTCACACCAGCAACAGTCACATCACACTCGCCTTCCCCAGATGGCGGCGGGTTCAACTTCCCGGGATCTCGCAAAGTCAGGCTGTGCGCCCGAGCGCGCGCCGGAGAGTGGGCACGCGGGCGGGCTGGGGACGGCGGGAACGGCGCGGCGCGAGCCAAGGGCGAGGACGGGAGCGCGGGGCGGGAAAGGGGGCGCGCCGGGCTCACCGGTTCCGGACGAGGAGGTCTCCGTCTCCGGGGAGCGGCACCGGGCAGTCCCGGCGCAGCGTGACGGCCTCGCGGAAGTTGGGGCTCAGCTGGGTCACCACCAGCTTCTGCATGGCGTGGGGAATGGCGGAGCCCTGGAAGTCCAGGAAGTGGCGGGCGTACGACATGTCCACGATGGTCCGGGCCCCGGCGGGCGCCAGCCGCAGCATGGCCCGCGCCTCCGCCCGCGCTCTGCGCCGCCGCTGGCCGGGGTCGGGCCCCGCCCGGGCCGCTCGGCTCGGCTGTGCTCGGCGCGGGCGGGCGGGTCCGCCCCTCCTCCGGCCGGCGCCCGCCCCCGGCTCCCCCCTTTCCCGCGACGCCTGCTCGCGCTCCCCCCGCCTCCCCGGCGCCGGCGCAGCCCCCGCGAACTCGGGCGCGCCGCCCCGGGTGTCCCGGCCTGGGGACCGCTGCCGCCCCGGCCGCTGCTCCTTTAATCTTTTTGTTTTGGTTTGAATCTGCTCGGCGCAGACTGGCCAAGGATCCTCTCCGCCCTCCCCCTTCCTCCTGGCGCGGGAGAGGCACCGGATATCCCCACCCTCCCCGGGCTCAAAAAGCCGGATTTGACTCTTCTCCGGCGGGGGGGTGGCCGGCGGGCGGCGGGGGAATTCGTCCGTCGCCCCGAGCCGGCGGCAGCCCCAGGGCGTCCCCGCAGCGGCGCGGCGGCCGGCGCTGGCGCCTCCCCTTCCCGTGCGAAGCGTTCACTTCCTTGCAAGGTGGTACGAATCAACCCCGAGCGCGGCCCGGGCGGCGGGGCACGGCCGGGGGCCCCGGGCCGGGCGGGGAGCCCTTGCCGCCACTGCGGCATGCGCACCCGCACCCACCGCGGGGCGGGGAGAAGCCCAGAGCCTCCCGCACCCCAGGCGGGTGGGTTCCTGTCCCGGGGATGCCTGGCCCGCGCCTTCTGTCCTCGGTCTGTCCCATACAAGTTGCACGAACTAAGCCATTTTATTTATTTTGGCCTAGATTTCATGTTTTTCCATGAACGTTTTAAGTAGCTCTGTAAGACTGTTACAGGTTCCCCATTGGGAGAGAAACATATTGAAAACCAGAAGGCCAAATTCCCAGAGCACAGACACATTTTAAAGTTCTAGCTGGGGATGCCGAGGGACTTAACTGAATTGGAGACGTTGCACTGATGTACGAGGACCTCGTCTTCGAACCCAGCAGGAAAGATCTGTCGTTCCATCGTGTCCGTTTTCTCCTTATTGGCATGCATTGGCCAAATATCAATTCACTCTTCATAGAGGGGCCAAATTAAATATTTCCACACCTTTCTGTGGTGAACCAAGTCCATCTTTAAATTTTTATTTAAATTGTAAATTTTAATTTTAAAAATCTCTTGTTTTTTCTTTATCCACGAATTATAAAATATAAAAGCCACATTGGGCTCCTCCCCGGCCAAATCTAACCCCCAACCTGGCATTGCAAAAGCGACACAGGTATTTGTTTCCCTTCCAAATGTAGGACATGCTTCACCCAAGGGTAGTTTGGATGCACGTGGTTGCGTGTGTATGAATGTGCAAGTGTGTGTGTGTTGGGGGGGACTAACAGGTTTAAAAATCTGCAGGAATTAATGTCTACTTAACTTAGAACACATGGATTTTTACCCGGTATCAGCCACTGGATTACAATAACAGCACTCTGAATGTCTTCCTCCAATGTACAATCTTTATGTTATGTTGTATTAAGATTTCTTTTTTTGTCATATTGTTTAGCTCCAAAAAAAAAAAAAAAGAAAGAAAGAAAGAAAGAAAACAAAGCAATTAAAAAGATTGACAGGTATGGTTTGTGAGAGACCTATTTGTAATTGTCAGGGTGACGTTGGCGAGAGGAGGAGGAGTAAAAACTGAAGCAGGAAAAGCAGCTCGATGTGTCTGTCTATCAGTTGAGACTGTCTGAAAGCTCTGCGATCCGAATGTGTGTTATATTTCACTGAAAAGAGGAGAGAGCGAGAGTGCATCTCCCTCTCTCCCAGGAGTTTGGGGGGGGGGCAGTCCACGCTCATCGCGCCCACCCAGTGAATGTCTGCGCTTCACCCCCTTTGCACACACTCTCCGGGTTGTTGTTGCCTTTTTTTTTTCCTTGGAGAGGGGGGTGCTTTTTGTGTATTTTTCAAATTTTTTTCTGTTGGAAGATCAAGACCGGCCAAAAATCCATGATCAAAATGTGTTTGCATTAGATTTTCGCATTGGAAGAAGCGGCGATCCTGGCGGCCAAGCCCCCCGGGGGGAAGCGCAGGGCACCAAGTGGCGCTCCGGCGGGGTGACACTGTTTGATCTGTGACTGTTTGGAAGGTGGAGCAGCGCCTGACATCTCCCCCCGGCGCATGTATGTACGGGGGCTTCACTCCTCTGTCTTGTTTGCTTTCTTCCTCTTAGACTAAGTGCGGGGAGGAAAAGGACAGCCTGGATCGGCCTCGCTGGCGCACAATGAGAAAGCTGCGACCCGCGCACTAAAAACACTCGCCGCGACCCCCAAGCAGCGAGGAGAGGGGGAGAGAAAGTTGCGCTCGGCGACTCTCGGCTCGCGGAAGAAGGCGCAGGGGAGCGCCCGGAGCGGCGCGCCCGAGGAGCGCCCGCCCAGCAGCAGCGCGGCGGCGGGGAGGCGGCAGCATGGAGCGCGGGCCGCGGGCCGGCCCGCCGAGCGCCCGCCGCTGCGCCCGCGGCCCGCGCCGGGGATGACTCCGGGCTCGGCGCCCAGGCCCCGCGCGCTCCGCCCGCAGCCCGGCGGCCGGGACGCGGCCCGCACGGCCGCCGCCGCCGCCTCCTGAGCGGCCCCGGGCGCGGCGGTCCATGCGAGCGGCTCCCCGCGGTCCGCGGCGCGCCCGGAGCCCGGAGCCCGCGGGGACGAGGCCAAAGTTGGGCGCGCCGCGGAGTTGCGCCCGCGCCCGGGGCCCCGCGTCCCCTCGTCCCCGCGCCCCGCGAACTCCGGCGACGGCTGCGGCGGCCGAGCAGCATGCCGAGGAGGAAGCAGCAGGCCCCCCGGCGCTCGGCAG